CTCACTTTCCACTGTAATGGCCATGTCAACCCAAAAAATGATTAAGCTTTTTGCCTTTATTAGCACTCCTCTCCTTACACTCAGGGCTGTGGGGTCTTGGAAAGACGAGAGTCTTCCCGCAGCCGCTGGCCTATTATATGACTCCTATAATTTGGCGTTGTCTAGTTGTCCTCTTATTTCTCGCTGACTTGACTACAACACTAGGAGATGAAACTGTGGTAGGCAGTTAGTCATGAGCGGGCAGCCCTAAGACAAAAGTGAAAGGCTCATCTAGCTCCGGGTGCCAGGAGGGCGAGGCAATTTGCCATCTTCCTTCCTTGGGGCCTGAGGGAAGCACACAGGGATGATTCTTAGATTTGTCTTTTATCAAAAAGACTTAAGCAAGCGTTTTGGTCGATGCCCTAATTCCCATTAGGGCAATGGACTAATTGGGCAGTCTAATTGGGGCAACCTGGCTCACATTGGGCATGCGCAATTAGGTGATCAAGTTCCTCATTCTTTACTTGCGAGGAAGGTGCGCAGGTGCAGGAAAGAACGTGAGGATTCAAATTCAAAGGACGGACATAGGCAGCGTAATGGGCCTCCCACTAATGAATATTCATGACCTCTAGTAATTAAAAATAACGGTTAACTAGTACCAAGCGCGGTTGCCACCTGACAATCTGCCCGCCCAAGATCCTTTTTGGGTATACTTCCTTTCTTTCCTTTCCTTTCTTTCTATTAAATCTTTTCTACCTACTTCATTCATGGTTGTAGTTCCATTTTGCGCCTAGGGACAGATCTCTAATTTTAGTGATCTGGACCCACAGAACCAAGGACTTCACAACGCAGCTTGACGCTTTCCCATCTGTTAAGAAAACCTGTTGAATGCAGGATGACATAAAGAACTCTGAAGTCATGCTAAGTGTACAAATAAACCAGGAGTGTGACTACACTTGTGTGTAAGAGCACTGCTCCAAATGGCCTCACTTATGCTAAGCACCCAACATCACAGTCTTCAAAACCACATGTTTTGCCTCAACATCTGCTTATTATCATGGACTTGAAAAACATGTGTTAAAAAAAAGTATCGAAAAAGCCTTGGGACCAGCAGTTAGGGTAATGGCTATGTTGCTGGACTCCCCTGTAGTGGACTGCAGTTCACTTTCCGGACCCAGTGGCTTAAAACTCATGCCGGGCACGTGTGCGTGCGTGCCCAAGATCCCGAGAGGAGAATGGAGGAGAAGGGATTGCGGCGTGGCCATCCCCCCTGGGGGGTGATTTCTCGCTTTCTATCTCTATCTCTGTCTCTCTCTCTCTCTGTCTGGCTAGCACACACGCCCTATAGCAAAAACTTCTCAAAAAAAAAAAAAGAAAGCCTTCATAATTCTGCATGGTTTCTATAAGCAAACTGCGACCTCATTTTTTTTTTCTTTCTTGCTAGGTTACAGGCAGTCACAGCAGGTAGACTTCAGTCCATCACAGGGATCCCGCCTTTAGGCCTACGTTAATGCAGACAAACTTGGAATGTAACTAATCCCAATGGCTTCTACCTCATTCCTTCACTTTCACTTTTGTATGTCACTTCCCCTTTCCTGTGCACGTTACTTCCCTTTTCTAGAATTTAAATATCGTGTGACCATGAGGTTGTGTGAAATTGTCTTGAAGTTGATCAGGGTCAACTGCCCCATTCGAATTGTATCAAGGTTTGATCAATTAAAACTCCACTCAATTAAATTGGCTTTGTTTGTTTGTTTGTTTGTTTTAACACATGTTTTACAAACTTGTTTGAAACAAAGACTCCAAGTAATGATGCGGGCCCAACATCAGTGCCAGATTTAGGATTGTGAGACGAACAGGTTCTTTCTTGTCTCCTGTTCATGAAGAATTAGAGACATGGATAAATGAAGGAGCAGGAAAGCGGAGTTTATTTAAAGAGAGGAAAGCTTCCTGAGCAAGGAGGGGGTCCCTAAAGAGGGTTGCCGAGGAGGAGCCGAGACAAGAGATTTTTATGCTACCAAAGAAGGCATATAAATGGTAAATAGATATTTGTAAAAATGTCAAACATCACCAAATATCAGGAAAATGTAAATTAAAAGCACAATGAGGTACCACCTCACTCCTGCTAGAATGGCTCTGTCAAAAAGACAAAAGATAAATGTTCAGAAGGTGGAGAAAAGAAACCCTTGTTGACTTTTGGTGTCAATGTAAATTAGGACAGGCATGGCAGGACCAAAGACAGGATGGCAGTTCCTCAAAAAATAAAAACAGAGCCACCATGTGGTCCAGCAATCCCTGTACTGGGTATATACCCAGAGAAAATGAAGTTCATATGTGGAACTAAAATCAGCATGTAAATTAGTCTAGCATTATGGAAGACAGTATGGCCATTCCTCAAAAAATAAAAATAGAACCACCATGTGTTCAGTGATCCCTCTACTGGGTGTACACCCAAAGGAAATAAAATCAGTATGTTGGAATAAATGTTCATGTTTATTACACTATTTGGAATAGTCAAGGAATGTCGACTATTGTTCCAGACTTCATGATTACAGGTGCACTATTTATTCTCATTTATTTGACCTTTTAAAATATACTTAAAGCATTATGCTCATAGCGAAGGTCACCAACAGCTTACTAAAAATATCTTGATGTATGAAAGCCTTTGTCATATCCTAGTACTTTATTATTATTATTATTATTCTTTTAGAGAAATTGAGGCTGTAGGGCTCATGCCCTCATTGGAGAGACAGAGAGAGAGACAGAGATAAAAAGTGAGAAATCATCTCTTCAGGGGAGATGGCCACACCACAATCCCTTCTCTTCCATTATCCTCTGAGGATTTTGGGCACGCTTGCACACATGCCCAACATGAGTTTTAAGCTGTTGGGTCCTGAGCTTGAACTGCGGTTGATTACGTGGGAGTCCAGTGACATAACCATTATGTTGTCTACTGGTCCCATACGATGATACTTTTAAGCAAAAAATACAAACTGATCTTAATCATGGGAAGGAATAAAGGGGTCTTTTTGATATAAAAATAGATATCTAAAAGAGTTCATTGGCATTTTGTTGTTGTTGTTGTTGCTATAATTGAATGCCACAGACTGGGTTACTTAGAAAGAATAGAAACATATTTAGCTCATGGTTTAGGAGGTCCAAGTTCAAGGGTTCGCATCTAGTTAGGGTCCCCTTGTAGGTGGGAACTCTGCAGAGACCTGAGGCAGTGCAGGTCATCTCATGGCAATGGGGCTATGGCTTGTGTCTTGCGTCTGTGTCTGCCCTGGTCTCACTCCCATGCTTTATAAATCACCAGGATTCAATCAGGGGGCCCCTACCCTGAGGACTTCATCTAATCCTATTCACCTCTCAATGGGTCCATATCTGAATCCTGTCATTGGATTAAGTTTACACCCTCTATTTTTTTCTTCTTTATATTTTATCCATTTAACCACTGTGTATCATTACAGCTTATAAAATGAATTTACCTAGCATGAATACACTCTATATTAGTCCAATTAAAGTATTATTATACATGTTATCATCAACAGATAATTTTCCATTTTTGCGTCCCTTCAATGTTTGCTTGTTTCTTACCATGACAACCGAATTTCAACACTTGAATTTTTTGGAGGTACATTCAAACCATAGAAGGGAGTACTTTTTATTTTTTAATTTTGTTTCTAAAGTTGTCAAACTTCTCAATAGCAAGCAAAGTAGAATGAAAGTGTCTGTTGAGCTGCCTGTGAGGCTCACAAACCAAAACAGCTTTACGTTGACGCGCGAATGCTAAGAAATTGAAATGACATTTCCCCTTTCTTCCTTCTCTAAAATCCAATGTCAAGCAAAGCTCTTAAATTGCATACACATATTTATATATTCACTTGTGAAAATTGTTCATGTCCTGCGAATGTCAGTCAGTCACCAAAACTAAAACTAGATTTGACAGACTAGATCTGGTAGGGCTCATAAATATAGATTTCCCTCAAAGAACAAGGACCTGAACAGTGTTCCAAACAAGGAAGAATCTATAGACATCTCTGGTTCGTCTTCTATATTTGAACTTGTGAGATCATCCGTCAGCTGTATTATTTATCTCCTACACAAAAGTATTTCAAGGTCTGTGGGAGTTTTCTCCAGCTAAGGTTGATCAATTTTTATTTCCCTCAATTTATAGCTTCCCAGATGCTTACGTTGGTGAAGGCTTTTTTACTCAGGAAAGGTGAATTCCTTTTTTGCCCTCCTTTAACCATTTTCAGACTTGAATTCACATGGCTATTCAAAATGAATAATGGACTTAGATTTTCTTTGGAAGACTCTGAGAAACAGCCACAGCAGAGCATATCTGGTTAAAGGAAGAATAAGGGAGAAATGTTCACAGCTTTGAGCTTTGGAACTCTCATGGACCTTTTGAAAAACCATAAACTCTACATTTTCAAACTGATAATTACTATTTCATTCATTCAGCTAAAAAAGTCCTCTGTACATGTAGGATGAGGGATTTTTGAGCTAAGCTCAAACATAAAACAGAGTTTTGTATTTTTATATTTTATATTTATATTTAATGTAATTGTGTTTCTGCTTATAATCTATATATACATTTTTACTTGAAGAATGAATTATTGGGGCAGCTCCATAGTGCAGCAGTTAGGTGCTATACAGAGGAGGCTAGATCTCATATGGCTGATTGAGGTTCAAATCCTGGCCCAGTTGGCTTCATGTTAGGTTTGTGTTCAACATGCCCAGGAGCCTGATGAGATGGAGAATTGGAGGGAAAAGGGTTAGGGAATGACTATACCCTGCTGAGGATGCTTTCTCTCTGTTTTTCTTTCAGGCATGTATTCTCTATCATGAATCAAATACATAAACTTTAAAAATTGAGAATTATGAAGCTAGCCCCTGGCTTTCATGTGACTGACTCTTACTGTTACAGATGATCCATGACACTAGATTAAATTCCTTTTCTATAATTGCAAATCTGGTTTCCCCACCTTGCATTGTTATCTGCAAATGTACCCTTGTCAATATTTTCTTTCCCGTATCCCATCAGTTGAAGGTGCAAATCGCATGCCTTCAATTTCCTCACCATAGAGTGACCTGCCCGCTTGTATCCCTTTGCTGCATTCTCTCCAGGCTCTCAGGGCATCTGGCTTCTGCTGGTTGGTTTCCATCTGCAACCCTCGCTCCCTGGCTGGGGGATACCGGTCTCTGCTCTCGCTGCATGAATGCCCCTGCTTTCCCCTATTCTGCCTCTGGCAGGTCCCTTTCAGAATCTTTGCTCTACTAACAGCCAAAAACAGCAGTAGAAAAATATGAATTTTGATATCTATGCCTGCGTTCTAATTCTGTGTTGCAGTAAGCCATGAGACTTGCTTTGATTTAATTTTTATACTAGGCTGCTTCAATTTTCCCAAAACTCACTACTTATGTTTCAATTACTTCTGTCACTCAACACATATTTCTGGAAAAGGGCTTTTAAAAGCCTCCTGTAGGGGCAATCCAAACAAATAGTTCAAGTTAAAAATGGCTTAAATATATTATCTCATGAGATTCAAAGGTGGAATCTCATCATGGTATAGAGGTCTTTATGTATAGCCCATAATAACAATTCCCTGCTCTGAAGAACTTTCAATATCTTTAGATTGGGGGGGGGGAACCTTGTATATGTAGTGATTCTTTGCATGACTATCAAGGAAAAAGCAATGGATGAAATTTTTGGAGTATTTAGCTGGAGGAGATACGTTTCTTTTGTGACTCAGTAAATAGCCTGGAAAATTGTTATTTATAGGGGCATTTATTTTCCATTTAGAATTAGACATTTAGAACCTTGTAAAGCAGGTAGATAGGTGGGAGTTAGGAGCTGAGAGATGAGAGGAAAGAAGTGAAAGCAAAAGATAGAGCAACTATATTTTCATTTGAATTTCTAACAAGTATAAGGCTGCAGCGGGATAAGGCCACCTTCCAATCTGCAGGTCGGCACACTGAGCAGAGGCGAAGAACTCAGCTGTCAGGAGCAGCCAGAACAGAACGGTCCTTGTATCACAGGAATACTAGTAATCAGATTTGCATGTAGAACTTTTGCAGTTGATTTTGATCAGACTTTCTGTTGGTTCCCATGTCTGCTCCATCTTTTGTTGCTGAGGGATTGCCCTCTCTCCCAAATGGGACTATTTAATGGAATTCCTTGGATGCACAGCTCTTCCGTGTTGGATTAAGGAATGCAGCCATGCCACGAGGCATGTCTTCTATGATAGATGTCCTGCACACTAGATGTGTCATTGCTGTTAGGCAAAGCCGTGGACCGTAGTCATAGCTGTAGTATGTTTTCAGATGTCTTTGATACACGTAATAGATTCTTAGAATTGCCGAGCAAGGCACCTTGAACAGAATAAGTACTGTGTAAATATTTGCGATTGATGGTTTCTAGGATTTGTGTTATTAACGACATCCTTGTAGCCCAATGTCCTGGCTGAAGAAATGGAAATTTGAAGGAAAGAAGCGAGCCCTGTAGCCCCAAGTGTGAACGCACTAAGGGAACGGGCTAATCATACATTTCCTACCAGACTGAAATTTCCCAATTGTTTATGCTGAATTCTGTTGAGTATACATATGTGACGACTGCTCAGACAATTTCCTGTGACACCCCCTCAAATGGGAAAGCATCTGTTTGGACTCAGTCGGAAAGCGTGCTAAAAATATCTTCACTTTGGCATTAAATCTGCTTATTGGAACAGTGTACATGCCAAACTAAATGCTTCTTTCTTTTCTTTTCTTTTTCTTTTTCTTTTTTTTTTTTTTTTAGTAGACTATTTCACTTTTATGATCTATTTCTGGTTCATGTGGGGACTTTACACATTATATTTAATCTAAATGCCTAGGTGAAGACAACTTCTGCTAGCTCAAAATAGTCACTGTTTTATTAGAATGTAATCAGAGAGAAGAGTTTCTTCACTAAACATTCACAATGATTTAGTCCTAGGATAAAAATCATGAGGACACATGGATATATTAGGTAAGCAGAAAAAAGTAACTTCTTACCCTAAGCCCAAAATATGCTGTCTAAAAAGTTTACACTGAAAGGATGAATTTCATAGTTCTTTTTAAACAATAAGCTGAAAGCTGAAAAGTCACTTCCAAATAATAGCGAGTCAAGATTTCCATTGCTTCCCGAAGTAACAGATTCACTTACTTAGAACATGAACTACTTCTGTGATAAGGGCCTATCAACAGCTCACTTTTTTAAGGTTTATTTTCTTATTTCTTCTGTGAGTAAAAAGACAGAGAATGAGAGAAAGAGAACAAGACAGAGAGACTGTCTCCCCCAGTAGGTTTTTTATGAAGCTCTCTACCCCCAGCTATAGCCAGCCCCAGAACATGAGCATATGTGCACCTGGCATGTTCAGGGCACTCTCTGGACACAAACCCGGAAATGTCCCATGTGGGTCAGTCTCACAGGGCATCGTGTTCCACTGCACCCCATTCGGTCTGTTGGGGAGCAGGTCACTTAATCGCTTAGTGATACATGCGAATTTGTTGCCCATTGGTACTGTAATAGTGCTGCTAGAGTTCAGTGCTAGGTGTGTGTGTGCCACGTAACAAGGGCAGTGCACGTGAACACGGCGACATCCAGGCATAAACAGCGGCTTAAATAATAGCAGTGTTGGAACCACAGAATTGTTGGCAGTGGGAGGTCTCTCCCCAAAATAGCACTGGCAGCCCTCCCATTTTGTTCTAAATTTTGTTGTGAGAAAATTGATGACTTTTACACTAACGGATATGGACGCACATTTCAAAATTTTGTGGGTGACTTCATGTATTTCTGGTGTTTCTGTAAAATTTGGGGGATTTATGATTTCTCCCCAGTGGGCAGCTGTGCTCCCTCTCCCTCAATACTGGATGAGTGCTCATACTCACCAGAGAGTTGAGATGTGGGAGCCAGCACAGCAGGAAATGAAGGATCCAGGGCAGGAAGCAGAATGTCTTCAGTAGGAGGGGAAAGTACCTCCAGATGTGGAGAAGCCGTGGCTGCATCTGTGGGAAGAAATTGGGAGAGGGACATTAACTTGACTGATCTAGCTGCACCACAGCATAGGCAACCTTTGCAACTAGTGGTTGATGTCTCCAGCCACCCTGGGGATGTCAACGTTATAGCATGACACCATAGGACATGCCTCTATTTACTAAAGAGTCTGCAACAGAGCTCTGTGTTACTTAGGAAATCTGTTAGATTAAATATGCAGTGGCTCTCCACTGATTCCTTGAGAGTTGTTGGCTCCAAATGAGCATAAGGAAGTATTGACTTTTTAAAACTGTGCGGGAGAGATATAAGGCAGGGTCAGAGGATTGATTGGAACCAGATACTCAAACATCACCACTGGCTTTTTCCCCCGGTTTTTGACTCTGCTTTACTGCACATGCTGGCTCCATTCTCATTTACAGCGGACACTTCCTTCCCTTGATAGGGCTCAGGTCCACTGAATCCTTGAGCTGTACAAGTCACAATTTCACTACATGAAAGGCTGTACTTTACTCTCTCTAGCATCAAGTCAGACAGCTTCTGGATTTCTAGATTTTAATGCTGGAGATGGGTTAATTTGAGTTTCTGGATCAGGTGGTAAAAATTCCCAAGGAAATCCCATTTGGCCAACTTAGTTTACAGACCTGCCCCTCTATAAATCACCTGTGGTCAGGGCTTTGGCATCAGCAAGAACATGGAATTGCCAGTTGAGCCATGTGACAGATTATGTCAGCTCCCAGAAAGAGAAGGGTGTCCTGGGAAGAAGCGTTGCAGGCTTTGGCTATGCAGCCGTACTTTTCCATCTGTCATGAGGCAGAAGGTTAATTCTTTTTTTTTTTTTTTTAACATTTCTATCTGAATCACTACATTTTTATTTTCAATACATTCTCAGCCCTACTTTTAGTTTTTCTTGTCCTTATCAAAAGTCAGTGTATAACAGTAGTAAAAAGATTTTTGCTAAATTGAATGAGATTTATTTTTATGTCATTTATGACTTGAATATATTTTAAAATTTTCTTTACATAGTTTAAGATTATTGAAATTAGTATTTTGAATTTTCTGTCAGTATCTGCCACAAAACACTTATTTTGTAAGGGGCTATATTTGCTACCCTTCATATTTGCTTTATGTTTAGTAGTGAAGTTTGGAGACTAAGGAGGGCCATTAAAAATGGCGATTTTTGTGTTATTTATTGTTGGGTTGGGAGATGTCCCTCAATGAGTGCCACCATCACACCACAGGGTTCATAATACAATACCACACTCATGAAGTAGGCTTCAAGGGGACAGGAAAACAAACAAGGCAGAGTTGTCAAGAAGAGAAGACACCCCCTTTCCCCCCATTATCCCAAGAGGGATGTTTTAGAATCTGTTGGACATTAACATGAAGTTGAGTTTCAGTGGGTAGACCATCCTACTAGAAGTCCCCTTTCTTATGGGGCAAGAACGAAAGTGGCCGTGTCAACTGTCTTAGAATCAGCCCACCATTGGACCAGGTAGGGGGCATGGTGGTTAAGGTGACTAGATCCCACATGGCCAAGTAAGCAGTGTGTGTCCCAGACTTGGCATCTTGGAAGATATGCTGGGCAGGTGTGCATGTGTGCCCCAAATCCTGAGAGGCTAAGAGGAAAAGGGACAGTGGTATGGCCATCCATTCTGGGTGTGATTTTTCACTTTGCCCCTCTTCTGTGGTGAGTGCAAGTGCCCTACAGCAAAAAAAGAAAAAAAAAATCAACCTACCCACCATGACTTCTGAATGTTTCCTTGTCTCTTTATCATAAACCACCTATTTGCTCTTCATCCCATTCCTCTCCCTTCCTTGGCTCTTCTCTGCTCTCCTGACCCTAGTCTTTTGGGTCTCACAGTTTGCTCAGCCTTTTTTTCTAGATTTTGAGTAAAATAAGGCACCTTGTAGGGGTAGATGTAATGTTCTTGGCACTGAGTTTGGCTTGTAGGTGACCTCTTTGTGCAAATTAGAATACAGTCCCTAACTTGGATGGCTCAGAGTTTAGCTGAAGGGGCTAGGGCTGGGTGCCTGCCCCATTCCTCACCTTAGCTGGGTATCCCTGCTCAGGTCTGGCACAACTGTACAACTGGCACAACCTGGTAGTGACCCTTGCACCAGGCATGCTGTGTCTGGAGTAGCTACTTCATTTCCATGGTTTCTTTACTATGCTACTTGTTACGGCATCCACTGGTTGATTTCTCTGAACTCAGAACCTAGTGAGCGTAGGAGTGTCTAAGATAGCACAATGCATCTTGGACCAAGGAGTCCAGTAGTCTTTTTCCAGTAGTATGCCATTGTTCCTAAAATTTTCTTCTTTCCTATGCATTTGAATACATTCATTATAATTTTATTTTTAAGAGTAGCAACATTGGAAACAAACTCTTTATCTGGCTATTGGAGAATGGACAACTAATCAACTTGATTTTATGAATTTTGTAGTTTTTTGACAATTGATAATAAATGTTTAAATTTAAAAAAATTCTCTGAATCCTCTGTGTACTGTGATTACACTTAAGTTAAAATGAGTGTGTGTAGAATGATTTTAACAAAATATATAAAATTGTTAATAGTTGTATCATACAATTATGGGTGAATTTCTCTTCCATTCTGCAAACAAAATTTTAATGTTAGCAAAATTGAATGTTATGTTATTCTGTCTTCTAAATTCATTTCCTGTATTTAAAATTCACTTCTTAATTTATGCAAGTTAATTAATCTTGATTATGTAAATTATGGGTGTATTACCTTCAGGCGAGAAAATAAGTTCAACCATTACCTGATTGTCAAAATAATGACTGATGGATGATGGTTCATGAACAAAATCAAGTACCAAATCTGATAAAATATTGCACTGGAGTGTTGCAACTCTGGGCTGAGAGTGTTGAATTTAGTCTACTCAAATTAGATATTAAAAGCTGTACTTGGAAAGGGTGTGCAGAGTCTTATCAACTTAATCACAGAAGTTGTGTAAAAAATTACATCACTCTAAGTTCTTTTACCATAAGTAATTGCTCAAAGAGTAAACTATGTTTCAAAATGAGACAGTTCTCACTCAGCTCCAGTACCTGACAGACGCCTAACTACTGGCTCAAGACCGACAGTTCTATTTCTCTTGGTTGGAGGATTAGATTGTAACCCAGAGAAGGTTTCTAGTAAGAACAGAGGCGAGAAATAAATGCTTACTTTGGTGTAGGTTGGATCTGCACAGGCATGGCAATAAGTTCTCTAGCCATTCTGAAATTTTCCCTTTTCTGTCTCTGTCTTAAAGGCATTTTAAAAAGTCCAAAGAATGAGTTTCAAAGTATATCCTTGGAATCCTGGGTCCCCTAAGGCTCTTCATGAGGTCAAGACTATTTCATAATATATAATGTAAGATGCTATATGCTTTTTCCCCCTACATGTCATTTGGCTACTCAGAGCCTGCAAATTTTAAGGAAAACAACTAACAGTTTGCAGTCAGCAATAAAATTTGAGCTTTCAAGAGACAATTAGAACCTGTTCTGTCACTGCGCTCGACATCTTCCCAGCATTTACTGAGATTGGGGATGATGTTAACACATGTATTTTTTTTCCTTTTGATATTGTGAGATAAAATGTTTCCACATTTGGAAGGCTTTTAAAAATATATGATTTCTGCCTTACACATAATCAATGTGTATCTTTGTGGGCCACAGAGCGGTTGTCAAGGCATACATACAGTGTATAATAAACCTGGGTGGCCTGCGAATTTGTGGTTAAGGCTGCTAAATCGCACAGCTCACTGTGTGGTTTGAGTTCAAGAGGTGGCAGCTTGGAAAACATGCTGCGTGTGTGTGTGTGTGTGTGTGTGTGTCCATGCCCATGACATTGAAAGGAGGAACAAATGGAGGAGAAAAGATTGTGGTGTGGCCATCTGCAATGGAAGTGTGCTTTCTCACTTTTCCTCTCCTCCTCCCTCTCTCTAATGAGCACACATGCCCTCTGACAAAATTAAAAAAAAGTCTTATCAATGATAAATATGTATTTATCATCTTCTAGTTCTACTGGATTTATTTTTTGAATATGTATTTAGTTGGTCATATTTAAAAAAAAACACTTGTTCTTTTATTGATTTTTTTTTTTAGAGGTTTTTGCTATAGGGTGCGTGCGCTCACCAGAAAGACAGAGACAGAGAGACAGAAAGTGAGAAATCACCCACCAGGGGGGATGGCCATGCCACAATCCCTTCTCCTCCATTCTCCTCTTGGGATCTTGGGCACGCACGCACATATGCCCGGTGTGAGTTTAAGCCACTGGGTCCGGGACTCAAACCGCGGTCGACTACATGGGAGTCCAGTGACATAGCCA